AAGGCAGCCGCCTGACCCCTTTCCTCCCCGCCCTCCTGGCCTTCCAGAGCACTCTGTGTGGCCTTTCCTCCTGAGGCCAGGCCCCACATGCTTCCTCGGGTGTCCTAAGTGGTTGGGGGGTCTCCAGGACAGCACCTGCCCAAACCTAAGCCTGTGCTCTCAGCTACTCCAAAGCCCGTGGCCTGCAGTACTCAGAGCACCCAACCCGGGCCCCAGCCAAGGGCTTCCCCAGATGCCCCCTTCCTGCCAGCCCCTTCCCAGGGTTCTCCTTCCCACCACACAGCCCTCTGATTCCACACCTCAGGCCCACCCCTCCTTCTCTGGCACCACCAGAGACCCGCAGGTGCCCCTCATCGAGGCAGCCAGCTGTGCCCCAGGCCTGGTGCTCAGAGAAGCAGAGCCATGGGACCAGCCAGGCTTGCCTCACCCACAGCCGGCAGCCTCCCTCTTGGACCCTGTGGGGTCTGACATTGGCACTAATGTGGGAAACACGGCCCCTCCCCTCACCCTCGACAGCAGCTTCTCTGAAACCTCCTCTGCCTGCCCCTGGGCACCCACAACTGCCCCACACCAGGCTCTAGGAAATGGGGGACGTCCTGGCTGCCCCCACGCACCCAGTGTGGCTGTCAGGGTGTGGCTGGCTCCTTGTGCAGGGGTAAGAGTGCCCACAGGTTCAGGGGTCGAGAGGCGAGGTTCTCCTCAGTCCAAGGAGAGATCCAGAATATGGAAAGAGCTCTCATAACAGGAGAAAGACAAGCAGCCCCCGCTCACTAAAAACAGGCAAAGGAGCTGCAAGGACATTCTCCAAAGAAGACCCACGGCCCATGAGGTCAGGAAAGGGTGCTAGCGCCACTGGCCACCTGACAAACGCAGTCAGAGCCACACAAGGTGCCACTCCATACCCACTAGGACGGCCGCAGGAGAAAATAGAAAACCAGCGTCGGTGACGAAGTGAAGAAACGAGCCTTGCGTGCTGCTGGCGGAAACGTCAAATGCTGTGTCTAGAGGGCAGTTTGGCAGGCCTCAAAAACCTCAACGCAGGTGGGGAGGGGGGCTCATGCCTGTCACCCCAGCACTTTGTGAGGCCAAGGCGGGAGGATCACTTGAGCCCACGAGTTCAAAATCAGCCTGGACAACATGGCAAAACCCTGTCTCTACAAAAAATAAAACTTAAAAAAATGAGCCAGGCGTGGTGGCGTGTGCCTGTGGTCCCAGCTACTTGGGATGCTGAGGTGGGCGGAGGCTGAGCCTGGCAGGTGGAGGCTGCAGTAAGACTCCAGCCGGGTGACAGATCAAGACCCTGTCTCAATAAAACAAAACAAAAACAAAGACATGACGGGCAGAGTTCCATGTGACTCAGCAGCTCTGCTTCTAGGTATGTACCCCAAGAACTGAAAACACACACGACTTCACACATCAACGCTCACAGCAACAGTATCCATCAGAGCCGAACGGTGCACATAATCCAGATGAACGTCAACTGATGAACCGGCCAAAATCTCTGAGATTCATCCAGTCGGGTCTAACTCAGTGAGAAGGAGGAAGGCACCGTGACGCGTGCGACAGCGGTGATGCTGAGTGAGGGAAGCCAGGCGCGGAGGCCACACCGCATAGGATTCCATTTCTAGGAAACGCCCGGGACAGGCGGACCCGTGGAGACAGAACGCAGACCAGTGCTTGCCAGGGACTGGGGGAGGGGACAGCAGCGACTGCCTAATGCGCATGAGGTTTCTGGGGTGAGGAAAACGTTCTGGAATTAAATAGTGGTAAGAGCTGCAAGGCCCGGCGCGGCGAACGAGGTACTCAAAACCACGGGGATGTGTACTTTAAAAGGGTGGATTTCACAGGACGTGAGTTACATCCAATAACAAACAGCCTCCACCAGGCCTCGATTCACAGTGGTCACTCCCTCCAGCCTGGCCTCTGGACCAGTTCTAAGCACCTTCCAGTCCCGATGGCTGCCTCTGGAGCCACAGCCGGGGCACCTCAACAATCCCTCAGTGCCAGCCTTGCTCATGCCTCTTCCAGGCAGGCCTCCAGGCTACTGAGGCCCAGAGAAGGGGACAAGCTGGCAGGGCCCGGCCTCCCACCATCTCGGCCCCCAGAGTGGTCTGCAAATGTTTCCTGAGTGATGTCATCTGCAAGGCCACCACCACAAAACAGCCTCAGGGCCTTTGGAGAAGAGCCCCCGTGGGAAGCTGCAGCCCTTGTCCAAAGCCAGCCGGGACCCCTAAGGAAAAGGCCACAGTGCCAGGGAGCCAGGAAAAGGGGCGGGGGTCCAAGCCCCGCTGGGCACCAACAGCCCCCAGCCCCAGCCCCAGCCCCGACACCACATCCAGAGCATGTGGGCCCAGCTGAGGAGCAGCCCCAGTATCTAATCCGGATCCACTATCTCACCTGAGACCACAACCCAGCAAGAGTGGGGCCAGAGGGGCCTCCCAACGGAGGACAAGCCATGTCCTCAGGCCACCCCCAGACCCACCCTCTCGCTGCAGCCTCGGGAGAGGGTCTGAGTCTGCACCCCAAGCCCTCCCCATGGCCTCGGGCTGGCCTCCCTGCTTACCCCTCTGTCTAGAAGGGCTTGGGGCCAGGCCAGCGAGGAGGCATGGGGACACAGCCCTGGGATAACCAGATGGAAACTCCACCTGCTAGTCAGTCAGAGGTGCAGGGCCAGGTCAAGGGAGCCTCTTCCCCACAGGGGGTCCAGCCTTGTAGACAGAGGCCTCCAGGAGGACAGCGGGCACTGGCCAGGGTTGGGTTGCAGCTCAGGGAGGGGGTAGGGAGGGCTCCTGTGGGCCCACATGACCCTCCCCCGGGCCAGCCTCTCCCCTCCGGGTTCCTGGGCTGTAACTGGAGCCGCGTTCTTGCCCGGGAGCCTCCGTGCCAGGCAGAGCTTTCAAGAGGGGGAGGGAAAAAAAGTCCCTAGATCCCAGCCCCTTCTCCCTGCTCCCTGGACTGGAGCTGGGGAGTGCCACTCCAGCCCCGCCTGGCTTCTAATGCCCTGGGCCACCCCTGCCTTCGCTGGGCCAGGAGCCACAGCCCCAGACCCCAACCAGCAGGAGAGGCCTTTCTCAACACAAGCCAGCCTGCAGCCCTTTGTGCCTCTTCCCCTCCCCAGCCCAGCCTCAGGAGCTGACTAGAGCGGGGAGCCTGGCCTGCCCTGACCCAGGATGCCTACCCAGCCCCTGGTTCAGGAAGGCGCTCACTCTCCGTCAAACAGAGTCCTAGCCGTCCTCTGCAATGCCAGCTGTCCCTGAAGGCTTTGCCCTCTGGACTTCCCACATGGCGGCTACATGGAGAACTGCCCTCAGGACAGGACTCAGGAATCCTCCCTAGATGGGTCCTTTGGAGCCAAGAAGCAGGGCCCAGGGAGCCTGGCAAAGAAGCCACCACAGCATGAAAGCCTTTGCTGTGTGCCGGGCACCAGCCTGGACTCACTGTCTGCAAGAGAGCGGAAAGGCACGCACACACCTAAAGCAGCAGAGCCCCTTGACCTCCTCCAGGGCGCAAAACCCAGAGACAGATCGGAGAAGGAGAGGCCAGGACCCAGCCCCACCCCATCGCCAGGAATCGGATCACAGCAGGGACAAAGCCGCTGCAGCCCAGACAAGCCCAGGGTGTGTCCCGAGCCCAGGAGCAGAGCCTCCGCTGGGCCGGAGAGCAGGGAAGCACAGCTGGCTGGCAAGGCCCCCGTGACTCACCGCGGACCTGTGGCCCTCCCTCCTGCCCTCCCGGGTGAGGCTACGGGCTGCACAGATGGCGTGCCGTGGCGTGCCAGCCCGGGCCCAGGGCCGTACCCACAGTCGGAGCCAGGAGAGGGTTGCGGGTGGGGGCCCCAGGGAACGGAGACACCGAGCTGACCCTGGAAGACGACCCAGAAGAAAGGAACGGAGAGAAAAAAGGGGGAGAAAGAAAAACACAAAGGGAAAGTTTCCCATGAAAATATTTTATTTTCTTTGAGAACAGGATACACCTGCAGGGCTCCTCGGCCCAGGCGGCCTCTCCCCGCCCTGGCGGGTGCCAGATTCCTGGACCAACGGGGCCCTCTGCCGGCCAGGCCGCCGCGCGCCGGCGCTCAGGCCAGAGGGCCGGGAACAGGTGACCGGCGGAGGGCGGCGGCCCAGGGCGCCCAGGTCGGGGGCTGGGATCCGAAGGCCAGCCAGGGCTCCCAGGGGCGGCGCCCGGGGCAGAGGGGGGAGGGTGGCGGGGAGGCCGGGGGCGCTGCCTCGCACGGTGCCACTCTGCACCTCGGCGTGCCCGAAGCGGAGAGAGGGTCCCCATAAAGGTCGCTGGGCTGGGCATCCCCGGCCTGGAGTGGGGAAGGAAAGGCAGAGAAACGCGCCGACAGCCCGGCAAAGCGCCGCGGCAGACACGCGAGCACGGGCAGTGACACCGCGGGGCGCCCCGGCCGGGCCCTGCGCTCCAGGCCGGGTCCTACAGACGCGCTCCCGCGGGCAGCGGTCCGCGCCACGGCGTCAGAAGCAAAGCGCAAGAAAAACAAATTCCTCCAGCTTGGAGGGTTTTTTTTTCTTTCTCCCTTTGGGGCTCAGCGCAAGGAACATCTGGATTTTGTACGTATTTTTGTTATTGTTAAATTAACTTCTCGAGGAGAGAAAGGGGGGGAAGCTGCTAGGTGGGCGATGGGCTGCGGCCGAAGACTCGGGCTCCAGCCGTTTGGCAAGGACAGGGCGGCCCCAAGAAGCCAGGACCTGATCCCAGTCCCTAAGCGAGAGGCAGTCCCGCTCACCGCCGCGGCGACCACGACGATTCCGCGGTCACGGAGGACCGCGACCCCGCGCAAGCCCGACGGGTCCGCCCGCCTCTACCGTGCCCCGCCGCGGACGGAGCGACGCGCGCGGCAAACAAACAGCGCCAGGCAACCCGGCGGCCCCGCCGCGCCCCGGCCCGAGCCACCCCGGGTGCCTCGGGGACTCCGGCGCCCCCGCCCCGGCCCTGCCGCCCCCGCCCACCCGAGCGCGCCGGCCGCGGAAGGCACCTACCCGAAGTAGGCGGCCGAAGGGCGCAGCGCGGCGAGCAGCAGCGTCAGCCCGAAGGCCGCGGCCAGCCAGCGCGCCAGCGGGGGCCCATCCAGCATCTTGCCGCGCCGCGGCGGCCGACCATCGCGCTCCCAGCTCCGCGCAGGGCGCGCCGCGGCCGCCGCCGTCTTATAGCGCCCGGAGCGCGGCCAGCTGGGCCCGGCCCCGCCCCGCGCCCGGGAGGGGATCACGCCGGCGCCGGGGGCGGGCCGAAACCCGAGCCGCGCGCGCCCGCCCGCCCTCCGCCCCTCCTGGCCACGCGGGGCCCCGGCCGCCTCTCCCGGCGCGGGTCTCAGGCGCGCCCCGCCCGCGGGGACGGAGGAAGGAGGGGCGGAGGGCGGTGGGAACCGAGGGCCGGGCGGGCGAGATCTTGGGGCGACCGCCGCGGGACTGCATTGGGGGGCCGGGGGCGGGCACCGGGACGCGGGTAGAGCGTCGGGGGCGCTGCCGGCGGAGCTTGGGGTGGCCCCGGGGGCGGTACTGAGGGGGAGGGGAGGGGAGGCGTTGGCGGCCGGGCTAGCTGCCGGCGAGGCTCCAGGCTGGGACAGTCGGGGATGCCGAGGACCCGGGCGTCTGCCCCGAGCTGGGCGCTGTGGGGCTGTTCCTGGGGAAGCCTGGCGAGGAGGAGGCGGGCCCGCTGGTGATGCCTGCGCCCCTTGCGCCTGCTGACCCCCGCGAGGAGCGGGGCCAAGGAAGCGCTCCTCCCTGTTGGGCACGGTGGCTGCTTTGGGCCTAGGGATGAAGCGACGTGGCCTGTTGGGGCCGAGAGGTGAGTCGCTCTACCTTTTGGGGTCCTGGTGCTCTCCCCATTCTTAAACTGTGAGAGGGGAGCTAGCAGCCAAGACACTGCCACACCAGCCATCGGGCGACGCCCTTCTCCTGTTTCCTGGCCGGGACTGGGGAGAAGGAGGACTCCTGGGGTGGAAGGTGCACGCCCAGGCAGCTAGAAGGGCAGAGTCGCCGCCCAGAGACTCGTCCCCGCTGCTGATGCGGATTCAGAGCTGCTTCTGAAGCAGGATGGTGTCAGAGGACCCAGTGCAGGTGCACACGTTCTAGACAAACCTGGGGGTGGGTCCAGAAGGCTTTGAAGTTCTTTGGATGAGGCCTCTGTGCCACAAAGCAAGAGACACAAGAACAGGTTCCGATCCAGGCTGGTGGTGGCATGTCATCCACCTGCCGCCTGCAGACCCTGGTCAGTGCAGGGTGGTGCCGCCCACACACGCCAGGCTGCCAAGACCAAGAACACTGATGGCCAGCAAGCCTGCCGGGCCACGTGCTGCAGGGGCCTCAGAGACCTGGGCTTGGGGGCCAGCACTGCCCCTGGGAAGGAAGGCCTCTCTAGACAGGGACCTCTGCGCCTGCAGGGGCTGATTCTGGCACAGTGACCGCAGGACCCAGGGGGAAGAGCAAATGCCCTGGAAGGCTGTGAAACCTTGCCCATCAGCGACCTGACTGTGGTCAGCGACCTGACTATGGCAGTGACAGGTGGATATGAGGGATCCTCAGAAGAAAACAAAGGAGAAGATAAGAACAGCAGAAAATGGCCCCCACGAGGGTTCTGAGCCACCCTCACCACCCCTTGAGCTCTTGGCGCTGCTTCCCTGGGATAGCCTGGCCACGTGGGCCACCCTGGTGACCATGCCCTTCCTGAGTCTATCATGGCCAGCTTGCCACGTGAGCTCCAGGTGCATGTGGGGCAGGGCAAGGCTGGGGCAGGGAGGAGACCGGGCCTGGGCAATCACTCCCTCTCGGGGCCTTGGTTTCCCCATCTGAGACCCATCCAACTCCAGTGAGAGATGGCTTTTCTCTAAGGCGTGATGTCCTGTATGAAAGCCCTGGCCCCTGGTTCTTTTCCACTGAGTGTGACTGGCCTCACATCCCACCCTAGGACCCCCTCCTGTGGGGTGGGGAGAGGGCACTCATTTGTCCTCTTTTGCTCATGAGGGGCTGGGCCACCTCCCTTGAAATGGGGCTGGCTCAGCAAAGGGAGGGCAGACAGCAGCCCAGCCACCCAGGCTGCAGCAACCCCGGGGAGGCCCACCTGCTGCACAACCATGGGCACCAGTGAGCCCCCAAGGTCCGGCTCCAGCACCTGGAGACGAGAGTCAGCAGAGGAGGGCAGGTGGACGGGAGACCCCCAGCGATCACATGCTTAAAGGCACAGAGGTTGCCTCCAAGAGGCGTGATATTGTAAATGTGCATCACAAGCCTCTGGCCACACAGAGCTCTCTATCCCAGGCAGCGTAGTGGTCCCCGAGGAAGGAGCAGCTGCCTGGTCGGCTGAGGGCGAGGGGTCTCTAGTCCCAGCCCTGGACTCTGGGACCACATCTGGTGCACGAGGGTGCTGAGAAGGAACATCCAACATCCATGGACTTGGGAAGGGCCCTGCTGTTTCCCCAGCGGAGAGAGGCCGTCGGCTCCTGGCAGCCTTCTGTGGTGGTGGGACCGACAGGCCAGCCCTGAGTGGCCCCACTAAACCCCACTTGAAGCCCCCGCCCAGCCAGGAGCCTATCAGGACCCAGGGCATGTGGCTGACAGGACCCAGGGCACGTGGGTGGTAGGGCCCAGTGCCCCTTGCAGGGTAATGCCAGAGATATACCTGAGATCTGGCAGACTGGCCCTGCACCTAGGATGATGGTGGCAGATAGAGGTGGTCCCCTTAGCCTACCCAGACCCAAGGGGAACCACGCCCCCTCCCATGAATCTCCCACGCCCCCTTCCACAAATCTCCCAGGCTCAAACTCCCTTTCATGTCTGACTGCCCTCACCCGCCACGGTCTGCCTGCTGCCTCAACCGCTGCCGCTGGTGGCCCCTCCCAGAGGGCAGTGTTCACCCGCCCAAGGGTGCATGGCACTAGGGAGGCAAGCGTCTGCTCCTGCCCCCTGCTCCTCCCACCTAAGCCACATCCAGACAACCTTGGGCATGGTGTGAGGGGGAGACGTTTCCCAGGAAGGGTGGGCTTTTTCACTGTCATCCAGTAGACGGCAGTCTGGCCCATGGCAAAGTGGCCCCTGTGTTTCCATTGGAGAAGCCGAGGCTGCCGGTTCTCTGCCTGGAAGGTGCATCGAACCCACAACTCCCCACAGCCTCCCAGCCCTAAGAAGCTCTCCAGGTAAGGGGAGGGGAGTAGGCAGGACAAGCCATCTCTGGCCCACAGTCAGGTGAACAGAAGTCTAACTCCAGTCAAAACCAGGCCAGGTGTGGGGGCTTACCCCTCTACTCTCAGCACTTTGGGAAGCCAAGTATGGACGTCTGAGGCCCAGAGTTCAAGACTAACCTGAGCAACATAGCAAGACCTTGTGTCTATTAAAAAAAAAAAAAAAGAAAGGAAAACAAATTACCAGGCTGGGCGCAGTGGCTCATGCCTGTAATCCCAGCTCTTGGGGAGGCCGAAGCAGGCGAATCACTTGAGGCCAGGAGTTCGAGACCAGCCTGGCCAATGTGGCGAAACCCTGTCTCTACTAAAAATACAAATAAATAAAAATGAAACAAGTTAGATGGCCATCATGGTGTGCGCCTGTAGTCTCAGCTACTCAGGAGCCTGGGGAAGGAGGATTGCTTGAGCCCAGGAATTCAGGGCTGCCCTGAGCTATGATTACACCACTGCACTTCAGCCTGGGCAACAGAGCGAGACCCGGTCTGAAAAAAATTATATTAAAAATTCCAAAGTCCAGGCTCCTCAGTCAAGTCCCAAATTTGAACCAGTTTGCAGACCCAGAACCTCCTGGATGGCGGGGAGGCCAGGCCCCTTGAGAGGGGACCCACTGTGCTACCAAAATCTTACTGTTCTTATCGCTCTCCCAGCCTTTCCTAGAGGCACTTACGGCCTTTTGCCAGGGTGACTGTGCAGTGGGGAAGGAGATGGTCAGACCTTTCGGGGATAGCCGGACACAGCTCCCAGCAGACATCGACTCTAGGAGACCCAGCAGGGCGCGGTGGCCCCAGGCAGAGCAGGGGCTTGTGAAGGTCCTGGAACCCATGGAATTGTAGCTCAGTCAACTCCCAGTGGTTCCCACGGCGCCCAGAGCCCCTTGTGCGGTGTCGTCCCCAGCTCCAGATGTGTAATTGGAGTGGACACGCTGGGCAGCCGGCCGAAGCCCCAAGGGACTGCAGGAAGTGTTTAAGGCCAGGCTGGGTTTTCCCTGCCCCACCCGCCCTAGGGTTCAACATGCTTTCCAAGGGATCGGGGAGGCACAACACAGACAGGTCCTGACGGCTGGGGAAGGAGCCTCACCGTGGAGAGAAAACGCGAAAGCAGGCCGGCTGTGAACGCGCCTCACGTCCAGGCGCTTCTGCAGACATCCACCTTCGTGCAGGCTCCTGCCCTGTGAAGTGCCGAATCCCCCACAGCCGCAGCCCCTGACTGTGCCCGCAGGACAGCATGTGCAGGGGCTGCCCGGGCTGCCACGGTGTCTGGGTGCTGCTGGGACACTCTGCTTGGCAAAGGCAGCCACCCGCTGAGGCCAGGCTCATCCTGCCCTCCCTTCCAGGCCGGTCTGGATTCCTCAGGGAAGTGGTGTGAGCTCACACCCACCCCAAACGGTGGGCCCCTCTGGAAAGCCAGGGTGCCCACACCAAATAGAAGCCACACTCTCCTCCGTGGATCCACTCAAGTCACCATGTGGCTGGGCAGAAATGAGGGCTTGTTCCCCTAGGCCTCACCAGGAAGCTCAGGAGGCAGGACCCTTGGGAAACGAAGCGACGCCTCCCCCGAGGCTCCTCCTGCCCCACTGCCCCTGGCCTGGGACTCCTACCCCCTCCCTCACCCTGCTCCACCTCCCTAGTCCAGTGATCCAACCTCCTCAGGCCTCTGCTCCCAGGGCCAGAGTCACAGAGAGAGGGAGACAGAGATGGAGAAAGGGGAAGAGAAAGAGAATGAGAAAAATGGAAAGACAGAGATGGAGAGACAGAAAGAATGAGAGACACAGAGGGAAGGAAAGAAAGATGGAGACAGAGACAGAATGCGAGGGAGACGAGGACAGAGAATGAGAGACAAAAAGAGGCAGACAATGAATGAGACAGAAAATGAGAAACGGAATGAGAGAATGTGAGAGAGAGAGACAGCAGGAACGAGAGAGAAAGGGAGCGTTTCCTGTGGGGCAGG